ACCTAATTCTCACCTTAATTGAGATCTTTGGCAGAGGTCTAGAATGGATGTGGTAAGGCCTGTAGATTTAAGAATCCAGCTGAAAGTGAGCATGTGTTTGCCACCTCCTTTTTTTTTTTAAATCGTCTCCCTAGGATTCCCGGATTATGTCTAGACTTGATTTTCCCAGTCACTCCAGCTTGTTTCAGGAAGCACAGAGGTTGACCCGCCCTTCCTGTGATCATCTCTGCCCTGTACCTGCCCTTGTGCCCTGTGGAGCAGTTTTCATGGGTCCTCTACAAGTCGGAACGGACTCTACAGCTATTGTTTTACATAGGGAGTGTATATTCCAGGAGACTAAGAAAGTTTGTGGAGAAATTCAGTCTTTTAATTTCATTTCCTACAAATGTGTATGTATATATAGGTCATAATTAGGAGTTTGAAAAATGCTGTAGCCGTTGTCTCATTTGGGGAAAGGAGAGGTTTAATATGTCTGTTTTCCCCCCATCCCTAGAAATTGAGGAGACAGCCATACTGTGACTCAGAAGACCTGTGTTGTTTGCCATATGTTTCTCAAGCCCAGCAGCACAATTTGTTACTGTGAAGGGTGGGAAAGAGTAAGGTTGGCGATGCCACCGCACTGTATGGTTATTCAACACTAATCCTTGATTAGCACTCTGCTAAGTGTGTGCTGAGCAATGTTACGTGTAGTAGCAAAGAAGTAGAATTCTGGGGATTGAATTTTAGCCATGAATGGAATCTCCAGGAATTATATTAGGCCAGAAGAGGTAATTCTATGTTGGTCTGGCAGTTGAAAATAGCAAATCCATTAAGCCTCTCCTGTCACAGGTGACCTCACAAAGTTCGGCCGTGGGGATGCCTCCTCCCCAGCCCCAGCCACAACCTTGGCCCAACCCCAACAAAACCAGACGCAGACTCACCACACCACGCAGCAGACATTCCTGAATCCGGCGCTGCCTCCTGGCTACAGTTACACCAGCCTGCCATACTACACAGGGGTCCCGGGCCTTCCCAGTACCTTCCAGTATGGGCCTGCTGTGTTTCCTGTGAGTACCTGACCATGTGCTCCCTTTATGGTGGGGGCCCAAAGCCCCAGACATTCTCCTACTTACTCTTCAGGGATAAAGGGGAAGAAACTGTTTCTACCTCTTACTGTGTGTCCTGGATAGAGCGGATGGGGGTTACCTGTCTTTAAAACAAGCCAAATGGGGGATATGATAGCGCACTGCTTTGCTTCCCTGATGTTCTTTATTCCCTGCTAACCACTGCCCCTCTTCCTTCTTCCAGCCTTTGGTGTTTTTAATCACCTCCCTGGTAGATTCTAGAAACTTGGTAGGGATCCTATTTTACTAAGCAAACTTTGACTATTCTACATCGAGCTGGGTAGCCACCTGCATGTCCAATCCCTGGAGTAAGTGGTGGGGGAGATGGTGCTTTGCTGCCATTTCAGTGCAATTCTGACCTTCATTCTTCAGGTGGCTCCTACCTCTTCCAAGCAGCATGGTGTGAATGTCAGTGTGAATGCATCGGCCACTCCTTTCCAACAGCCGAGTGGATATGGGTCTCATGGATACAACACTGGTAAGTTCACCTGGACCCTTGTTGTGAGTGGTGTCTCCTGGGTAATGACCATATGAATTCTAGGAAGGAGCACTTGGTACTTAAGAAAACCGGGGTGGTAAGGGTATGCTTATTCCATGTACACTAATACGTGACTTGAGTTGAGCACTGAAGTAGCACCAACAGAGAAGAGCTTGCTATCGAATATTTGCGTACTACTCATGGTGGAGAATGCCAGGGGACATGTTGGGTCTTAGAATAGGTTGGCTGGCCTAAAATAGATGGGAAGTAGGGCAAGGAGCCCCAAGAAATAGTGATGGAGGCACCTATCAAATGTGTATGGCATTGAGAGAACAGCAGAGATAACATCTTAGTAGTAGTAAATGGGTTCTCAGCAGGTTATGATAGACTTGGCTTAAATCTCTGTACTACTACTTTTCTCGTGTGGCTTCCTTGTACCTCCAGCTAGAAGGCCTGAGATTCAGAGAGAAAGGAGGCAGGACTCAGTGGAGTAAAAATGGGACGGTAGGGCTGTACTTTTTTTCAGTGGTTCCCTCATGTGTGGGGGTGGTCTCTGCAAAACCCATTTGTACATTGATGGCAGGGAAGTAGCTACAGGAATACTCTGAATGACCTAACCATATACCTCTGTTTGTCACATACCTAACCTATGAACTCAAATTTTGGAGAACGGGGAATAAGAAGAGATCTCCGAATAAAATAGTCATCCACGTTACTCTGGCTTATAGGTGAATGTAGAGAGGAGGTTGTGTTTGCTTGGGGCTGGTCTCAGGGTTGTCCCTCAAAATTAAAGCTCAGATAAAGTTTCATGGTAATTTGGATTACTCTGCAGCTGTGTTTGAGACTAATACCAAAACCCGTAAGTACCTAAGGAACTAACTTCCATCGGGAGTGTTGAGCTGTGCTACGCACATCAAATACATAACACTGGGCCAAGATTTAAACTCAAGAGACTGAAAAGTCCTGTTGGGATTTTATACTTAGACTCCTTGTGTCCACCCTTCACACTAAGTCAGGTCTACCCTAATTAACCTTGATTGTAAGGATTATACATTGTATGGCTTGACGTGATCCCATCCCCAAAACATTAAGGTTTAAGTCTTAGCTGGGCCAAGTCCAAGAATTTTAACAGGTAGGTGATTGATAGTAGAAGCAAATGGCATTTGATTCTGGGAAGTTTTAGGTTTTCACTGCTCTTAAGATGCCAGGAACCTGCTTAAAACAGCCTTTTAAGAACCCCTAGTTTCCAACCCCTAGTTCCCAACCCCTACACAGGGCTCTTATCATTCCATTCCTTACAACCTCTAAATTCATTTATTTTTATGTATTTGATTCCTTTTAGGAAGAAAATATCCACCCCCTTACAAGCATTTCTGGACGGCTGAGAGCTAATTTGGCCCATGGCTGGGGGCTGTGTTTTGTGTGTGTGTATAAATTTGCACTGAAGTCTTGTTTCAGAAAACAGACCACTGAGGAGAGTCTGCTGAGCTGAGGCCATGCCTGCGTGGCTTGGGGAAATGAGTTGGTGGATACCTTCTGGGCTTTTGAACTTGCCCCTCACCCGTTCCCTCTCCCCCACGTGTCTGACCCTGTCTTGCCCATTTCGAGTTCAAGCGGTGCAGCACCTCCGAAGCATCAATGCACACACCTACTGTTGCTTTTGATTTCTGGAAGGCATGTAGTTTCAACTTGTAACAAAAATATTTGTAGTCTTCAATAAACTGTGGTATTTCTTTAGCTAACTCTGGCGTTCTTTCCGTGCATGTCTTTCTGGACAACAGGAGCCAATGTTGTGCTGTGGATGAAGGGTGGAGGGTGGTCTTCTTTGCCATCAAAGGACTGGTTAACTTTTCAGTAGGTGGTGATTTGATTAAGAGTAGCAGAGGAGGGGAAACAGCCTCAGATTCCAGCCTGTTGATTGCTCACCTGATTCCCCTTGCTTATTATTCCTGATCACTTTTCCGTTTAGATCTTCCCCATGATGTCTGACAAAAGCAGAAGGGGGGGGGGGGACAAAAAACAAAACAAAACCGTTGAGGGCATCATTGTCATGGTAAAGGTAAAGAGCTGTTTTAGGGAATACTCTTCCAAGGCTTGACTCCCACATCTGGTTCCCAAAGGCTGAAATCTGATAAAACCATTAGTGATCAGCTAGTTGGTGGCTCAGGCTCTGTGGAAACTATGCTCACCTGGAACATTGTTCTTTGTTCCTGAAAGGCTTTGGGGGACTCAGATTTACTCGTCGTTTTGCACTTAGAGGTGTAGCTAAGGAAGTCCAAGAAGGTTTGCTCAGACATCTTGACGGAACATTTGAGTCACCACTTAGTCTGACTAGTACACTATCAGTCCTTTGTTTACAGATGTAACCTTGGCCCCGTGGTTAATTGGAAACTCACATACATAGTTTTCCTTGTATTCGATCCTAGTCCTCTGGAGTCATTGTGCCCTATAAAGTGTAACCTACTTCCATAGTGGCTGCTATCCTGGGAGAGCCTGGTTCTTGCTTCCTCTCCCTGTTGGCCCTTGTGTTGGTGTGATCATCACTATTTGGGAGTGAGGAGGGCAGGCAGACAGGCAATGATAACGTTTAGGAGAAGCAAGCGGAATTGTAGTCTGAGGATCTTTCTTTTTTAAGCTCTCTGAATACACAGAGCCCTGATGGTGCAGTAGTGATCTGTTGAGCTGGTCATCACAAGGTCAGCAGTGCAAACCCACCAGCTGGTCCTTAAGAGAAAGACCAGGTTTTCTACTCCTGTCAAGAGTTAGTCTTGGAAACCCACAGGGGCAGTTCTACCCTGTCCTGTAGGGTCGCTGAGTCAGAATTGGGTTGATGGCACTGGTTATTCAGGCCACTACACAGCGTAGTCTTATTTTCCTGCATCTCTAATTCCTTCAACCCCAGATCCAAGTTAAAGGCTCTGGGCCCAAAGGTGATTTTCGCTGACCACACCTCTGGAAAGATGAGACCATGGATAAGCACATTGGAACTCCATGCATTCCTCTACCACCCAGCTTTAAAATCGACCTTGCTATTTCTCCATCCTAAACTAGCCAACCCAGCCTCAGTTTGCAGAAGGTCAC